GCCTCCCAAGTAGCTGGGACCACAGGCGCCCGCCACAGTGCCTGGCTATTTTTTGGCTGCAGCCATCATTGTTGTTTGGCGGGTCCGGGCTGGATTTGAACCTGCCACCTTGGGTGTATGTGGCTAGCACCTTAGCCACTTGAGCCACAGGTGCTGAGCCTTTTTCTTTTTCTTTGAGCTAGCATCTCACTCTGTCATCCAGGCTAGAGTGCTATGGCATCACAGCTCACAGCAACCTCAAATTCCTGGGCTTAATGATCCTCCTGTTTCAGCCTTCTGAGTAGTTGGAACTACACATGATTGACATGACTCCCAGCGGATTTTTCTATTTTTAGTACAGACCAGGTCTTGCTCTTGCTCAGGCTGTTCTTGAACTCCTGAACTTGAGCAATTCATCTGCCTTAGCCTCCCTACAGGTGTGAGCTACTGAGTCTGGCCTATTTCTTCTTTTTTTGAAGGGGGGCACTAGGGCTGGGGTCAGGGGAATGTTCGTCACTCTGGACCTATTGCCCCCGGACAGGAACTGCTGCCCGTTATTTTTTTATTTATTTTATTTTATTTTTTTGAGACAGAGCCTCAAGCTGTCCCCCTGGATAGAGTGCTATGGCTTTACTGCTCACAGCAACCTCCAACTCCTGGGCTCAAGTGAGTCTCCTGCCTCCACCTCCCAAGTAGCTGGGACCACAGGCGCCTGCCACAACACCCGGCTATTTTTTGGTTGCAGCCATCATTGTTGTTTGGCGGGTCTGGCTGGATTCGAACCCACCACCTTAGGTCTATGTGGCTGGCGCTTTAGCCACTTGAGCCACAGGCGCCGAGCCCTTTTTCAGTTTTTTAAAACAGCTTGGGGTTTCTGTTGTTGTTGTTATTATTGTTGAGTTTATTTCTTGATTTTGGAGGTGGTTATATAAATTATTTCAAACGTTTATTGATTTTTGTGGTATTATATACATTTAAAAAAATTAACCAAACTTTATATTTGTGACTTGTGCACATTTCTTATACTAATTTTCTTTTTATAAATTTTATTTTAAAATTATATTAAGATTGTATCACAAATATAAGCTAATAAAATTTCTAATCTAAGTGAAATATAAAAGTTAAAAAATGTAATTTATCTAAATTGACTCATAAATATATACAAAATCATGATAACCCTATAGCATTAAAGAAAATGATTCCGAAATCAAAATTATTTCCTAGTAAGAAAACGCATGGGAAAATTCTGCCAAACATGCAGGGTAGAAGTAATTTCAACATTATATAAACTCTTCCAAATTTAGAAAGATACATGCTATCAAGATGACTGACATTCTGCAATGACTTATTTTGACTCTTTCTTCCTCTCTGGGTCTGACTGATTAGGGAAGTGTTAATGGCTAATGTCCATGACCCCAATACTCCCCAACTTGCCTCACAGATATTTTACTTCTGTGAACTGTTTCCTGTCAGCGCACTCTCACTGGCTTTCTGTTGAGATTTCCTCCCTGTTTTTCCCACTCATAATTCTCAGCCTGAGACATTCTGGGAATTAATATACCCAGTGCAGAGTCAGCACTTAAAATTCAAGAGGTGCATTTGCTGCCTGCGATGCCTAGCTGTGGGAATGTAGGCTAAGTGCACCAAAGACCACAGAGAGGCTGGCCCCTGTAGCTCAACAGTTAGGGCGCCAGCCACATACATCAGAGCTGGCAGGTTTGAATCCAGCCCAGGCCTGCCAAACAACAATGACAACTATAACCAAAAAATAGTCAGCTGTTGTGGCGGGTGCCTGTTGTCCCAGCCACTTGGGAAGCTAAGGCAAGAGAGTTGCTTAAACCCAAGAATTTGAGGTTGCTATGAGCTGTGAAACCACAGCACTCTACTCAGGGCAACAGCTTGAGACTCTGTCTCTAAGCAAACAAACAAACAACAACAACAAAAAAAAAAACACAGAGAGGGGATGGAGCCTGATTCTGTATGTCCCCAGGATCCAGGATCCAGAGTGTGAACTAGAAGTGAGGTACTGGTGTCAATGCAGGAGCACCCATGAATCTGGCATAGCTTCTTCGAAGTGCAATAAACACAAGAGGTAAAAATAAGATCTATACAGATCATAATGGAAAAGGTGAAACTATTTTTATTCACACACAATATGATTATGTAGATAGAAAACCTAAATTATCCATAAAGAAAAAAACTATAACCCAATAAATGAGGTTAGTGAGATGGCAAAATACTAGTTCAAACTACAAAATTCTTTCATGTCCTTAAATACTGTCAAGTACAATTAGAATTTAGTTTTTAAAAAGTGCAATTTACAGGAGTGGTGCCTGTAGTTCAGTGAGTAGGGCCCCATCCCCATATACTGAGGGTGGTAGGTTCAAACCCAGGCCCAGCCAAACTGCAACAAAAAAATAGCCGGGCATTGTGACAGATACCTGTAGTCCCAGCTACTTGGTAGGCTGAGGCAAGAGAATAGCCTACGCCCAAGAGCTGGAAGTTGCTGTGAGCTGCGATGTCACAGCTCTCTACTGAGGGCAACAGAAAAAAGAAAAAACATCTCCATTCTAGCTAGAAGACTGTCTCACTACCAGTGCCTCCCTCAAGAACTGGTGGCTGCTTCTATAAGCCTGGTGCTTGGTCTCCTACAAGTCCCCCTTTTTTCATTTAAGATATTCTTGTACGGGTAAGAGAGAAACCCGCAATTGTCTGTTTCATTTGTTATTCTTATTGAGTATCTCTCCTTCCAGCTAAGTAAAAGAACAAGAAGCACAGAATAATTAACAAAGTTACTCCAACAGAACTGGTCAGTGAGGGCCCTCACAAAAGAAAAAGAAAAAGGAGTAGCTACACTATTAACAGTGTTTAGAATTTCAATTCTTGTGACAGAGTATACTCTTAAGGGTGAGAGGACTGGGAATCGTTTCCATAAATAATGATGTGTTGCTCCCGCCAGGCATAAGGGGAGGTATATCTCCTCCCTGCCAAACAATATCCAAGCTGAAGTCTGGAGGAGCAGCAAGGAAACCTTAGGGATATAGGTTCAACAAAGGAAATTCGCTCACCTTTGCTGATGTCAATGCAATTATTTCCAGGAACAAGAAGTTTGCTGGTAGGGATTTACCTCACAAGTCAACCACCTCAAAAGCTGGCTGCTTTTGTTCATGATCTGGTTAGAGCCCAGAGGGTACATGCTGAGCGCACCTGGACATAGAGAATGGGGAGTTCCCTGAAGGGTGGAACCCTGTATCAATCCTTCCTCTCTGAACAAACGCTGTAACTGCCCTTGGGAAAAGGGACACTGACTGCTCCAAACTGCTTCCTGCTGAAACTGGATGATGACACAGGGGGACAGTTAGAGGTTCCCCAGAGGAGATCAATCCAGGTTTCATAGTAAATGAAAATCTGGGTTGGTAATTTGGAGTAAAATTCTAGGGTAATCTGGGCATTGTGGCAGGCTCCTGTA